GCCTCCCCCCGGCGGCCAGCCGGCCGCCCTGGGGCCTCCGGGGCTCCCCGCCTTCGCTCCCCGGCCCCACTCCCCGGCCCCACTCCGGCCCTGCTCTGGTTCTGCCTTTCCGTCTTCCTCAAGCCTGCCTCCTCCCCGCTTGCTTCATCCTCCTGGCCCTCCAGGCCTCGGGGATCTGGCCTCCTCAGACGGGCCTCCTCCTCTCTTTTCAAGCCCTCATCCTGGCTCCGTGCGTTCCCAAAGGCTGTCCCTCTCCACGAGGGGACCCCATGCTCTCAGCCTTCCCGCATTCGGTTCCCTCCCACCGCCAACACTCTTCTATCCCCCTGGGGCGCCCCCGAGGCCCCCCCTCAGGCCCCACCACTCCTCTCCGTGGGTCTGACCTTGCTCCCTCCCCTGGCCCGGGACCCCCCCCCTTTTTTTGCTCACAGCTTCTTCCCCTCTGCCCCACTGGGAATGCGCCTCGCTCCCTCCTAGAATGACCCAGGTCAGGCGTGGGGTGGGCGCTGAGCTAAGACGGGCCCCTGACAGCTCATGGAGAAGCCAGGACACAGGGGTTGATTGTGGACAGAGCAGGCGCCAAGCGGGCCAAAGGGAGCAGAGGAGGGATGCGGGGCAGAGGGGAGGGGTGCGATCCAGGGCAAAGGTCTGCAGGGCAAAGGGGCCTGAACGCTCCCGCAGAAGGCCAATACCCTTCGCTTCGTGCCCGACCTCGGGTCCCCTCCATCCGCTCCTTCCCAGCCAGTCTCAGCCTCTGCGCCCCTGCCCTTCCCAGGTCCCACACACAGCCCCGCCCTCCTGCTGTGGGTCTCACTGTGGGACTCCTTTGCTCAGCTTCAGCCTTGACTTGCCACTCTAAGGGGCTGTGTAGTTCATTTTGACTTTGGAAAAAAAATTGGACACATTCCAGGAGGCTCAAATTCCTGCCTCAATCTTCTTCGTTTGGGGGAGACATGGTTTCCTGACTCAATGAATGGCTCACCCCTCTAATTCTAGCTACTCAGGAGGCTGAGATCTGAGGATCATGGCTCAAAGCCCGCCCAGGCAGAAAGATCCCTGTGAAACTCATCTCCAATTAACCAATCAAAAACGGTTAGTGGTGCTATGGCTCAAGTGGTAGAGTGCTAACCTTGAGCACAAAGAGGCTTAGGGACGATACCTGGGCCCTGAGTTCAAACCCCTTGACTGACAAAACAACAAACAACCCCCCCCCAAAAGAATGGCTTGACTGTCCAAGGTCATCCTTCCTCTTTTCTCTCTCCTCCTTCCGCCCTTCCTCTCTCTCCCCCCCTCTCCCTCCCCTCTGATTTCTTTCTTCTATCTTCTCTCTCTTCCTCATCTCTGATCCTCCATCTTTCCTCTGTCCTCTTTCTTCTCTCTTGCTCTTCTGCACTGACTTGGAGCTTTGGGGTCCTACTCTGTGTATGGATAGCTGTGCTGTTTCCCAAGCCTGGGAAACCACACGAGAGCACAGGATTGCAGGCTCCCTGTGAACATGATCCATTTCCGAGGGAGGGAGACAGACAGACAGAGATAAAGACAGAGACGCAGAGTGACACAGAGTCAGAGACAGAATCCAGTTAGGTCCAGTACGTGGTGGCTGGAGAGACCCTTGGTACACTGCAGCCATCCCAAGGCGGTGCATGTACTGGGGAACAGCGTGTGCCCTGGCAGGCTTTGCTTGGGTCTGCTCTGTCCCCTGGGCCATTCTGAGACCCTGTTTATTCATTAGTTTGGCTACGTCTCAGGGAGGACTGTTGGAGAGATGTAGAGAGAAAGCAGTGTACCCCACCCTGGCCGTGCCCAGGGCCCATCAAAGGAACAGGAGGTGGTGAGGGACCTCAGGAGATTACCAGACCAGTGGAAGCTCTGTTCCTCTCCCAGGGCCTGAGGTTTCCCCTGCAATTCTCGCTGGGTCTTTGATGAAGGAACCCAGCTCTGTCTCATGCTGGCCATGGAGATGCCTATGGCTGATGTCCCTAGAAAGAAAAGAGCCACGGGCAGAGCTCCAGACACCGGTAGCACCCTCCCCGCCAGTGTGTCTCTATCTCTAGGAGTTGCAGAGATGGTTTCATAGCCGATAGGATTTGAGGCCTTCCTGCCACTCATTTGTGATGACACCGCCCGCATTCGCAGGAGTGGCCCCTTCCACACAGGTACCATCACGCTGTTTGCGGCTCTCACTGTCATCCTGGGACTCTTCAAAATCGGATACTTCATTGGGTTTTCAGAGTGTCTGTCCGCCACGGAGGGAGTCTTCCCTGTGACACACTCGGTCCACACTCTGTTACAGGTAACCCACCATGTTTACGCGTGCAGTCTTTGTTCCCAAAAAGCACATCCCAAGGGGATGAAACGTGCCGGACACTGTTGGCTCACGCCTGTAACACTAGCTGCTCAGGAGGCTGAGATCTGAGGAGCAAAGTCAGCCTGGGCAGGAAAGTTCATGGAACGGTAATCTCCAATTAGCTACCAAAAAAGATGAAAGTTAGTCGGGAGCCAGTGGCTCAGGCCTGTCATCCTAGCTACACAAGAGGCTGAGATCTGAGGATCATGGTTCAAAGCCATCTCAGGTAGGAAAGTCTGTGAGACTCTTATCTCCAATAAACCACCAGAAGTGGTGCTGTGGCTCAAGTGGTAGAGCGCTCGCCTTGAGCTGAAGAGCTGAGGGACAGCACCTAGACCCAGAGTTCAATCCCCACAACCGACAAAAAAAGACAAAAGAAAAAAAAAAGAGATGGAAGTGGAGCTGTGGCTCACGTGGTAGAGCACTAGCCTCGAGCAAAAGTGCTCAGGGGTAGCACCCAGGCTCTGAGTTCAAGCACCAAGACCAGAACAGCAAACAAACAAACAACAACAACACTGAAACCAGGATGACTGTGCTTTTCAATTTCTTCTAGATTTTTCCAGTTTATTTGAGTTTTCAAAGAATATTATCATGAGTCTCTTCTGGCCTTTTTCTAGTCTAATTGTCTAGGGGTTTATTCATCTTATGTACTTTTTTTTCCAAAGAATCAACTCTTGGTTTCATGGTTTGTATAGTTTTTTTTTAAGTCTCTATTTCATTAATTCCGCTTAATCTTTACTATTTATCTCCATCTGCTAGTTTTAGGCCTGGTTTGTTAAAATGGAATGCAATTCTATGATTGGCAGTATTGTGGATGGAAGTATATGATGCTCTGCAAAGTAAAATGTCAGGCAAAAGTAAAAGTCAGGCACATGGAGACAAGGATTGCACACTCTTATACATATACAGAAAGCTACTTATACATAAAGCTACTCCATCCAAGCAGACATCCTTAATCTAGTGCAGCAGTGTTCCCTCCAGAGCTGAGAGGTCTCTTCATGTTTGTCACATGTTCCTGGAACTCTGTCCCCTCTGGGGAGTGGCCCTCAGGGTGACAGGATGCCTCTCTCCTCTTTCTTGGGGTGAGAGGTCACACATATCCCCAGCATTTTCGAGTTTTATAGCTTCTCAAGTGTGCATATGTAATGATAGTTTCCTTAATGGTGTGGATTTTATTCCTCCCTTTTCTTTTTGTCTAGGTATATTTTCTTTGGGGACATGCAAAGGACATTATCCAATCTTTCAAAACTCTGGAAAGGTAAACACTGTGGGTAATTGCTTTACATATTGGATGTAGTGTTCACCAGCATTTAGAACAAACAAAATGTATTCATAACCCCATTTTGCTGGGATTATCAGCACTGGGCTGGACTTCCCATTGGGTCCTGGAAGGCAAAGTCCCCCCGAGAGGGGAGAGGCCCCCCTCCCCCCTACCTTGTCCGAGAATTATTGATATTGAATTGCACTCTGACAAACACCTTCACCCCAAAGTATTTAAAAACATATCTTGTTATTTTGGTGGGTCAAAGTCCTCAAAGAGGATTACTGGAATCAAAGCTGACATGTTCTCCACAAATGCGCATCCCCTGTAGTGGGAAGTCCTGGTGCTTAGTGTTAACCTTCCCATTTATAAAGCTCTTTGGCTGTGGGGCTGTGAAGGCTCTTGACTCTATGAGGGTGTCTTACAACAGCCCTGCCCACGAGGAGCAATAGGCACAGAGTGCAGGCCATTGAGCAGGAGAGGAGATGACAGGCCGGCAGTGAGGTCTGGGAGCCTTGAGGCTGCCAGGGGACCACAGGCCCAGTGGGGTGGGCGGGGCAGCCCTCCACGCTCTCCAGCCCAACCCCCTCCTAGCCTTCCAGGGGAGCAGACCTGGCCCCTCCTCCACCGCCTGCAAGGTTAAGGCAGCAGCAGCCACCTACAAGAGGCTGCAGAGCCCTGGGTTCCCTCGGTGCAGACCACTTTGAGGTCAGGGTGGAAAGCAGAAGGGAAAATCTCAGGAATAGTTTGGAATACTCATCACAGGTCGTCACAGCACTGTATTGACATTCTGGGATTAACAAAATATCTCAGTTACGTTCATTTATTTATTGTATTTGGGGGGGGAGGAGTGGGGTTGGGGGTGGAACTCAGAGCCTCCTGCATGCCAGACAAGCTCCACCACTGGGCTGTCCTCAGCCGGTATTTTTTGGGGTTTGTTGTTGTTGGCTGCAAGACTTGAACTCAGGGCCTGGGCTCTGTCCGCAAGCTCTGTTTGCTCAAGGCTACCACTCTACCACTTTGAGACACAACAGCACGTCCGATTTTCTGGTGGTTAATTGGCGAGAAGAGTCTCATGGACTTTCTTGCCTGGGCTGGCTTTGAACCATGATCCTTGGATCTCAGCCTCCTGAGTAGCTAGGATGATAGGCGTGAGCCACCAGTGCCTGCCTTGTACTTTTTGTTTTGAAGGTGAAGCCTCAGTGAACTTTTCTGTCCTGCCTGTCCTCAAACTGTGAGCCTCCAGAGGAGGCTAGGATTACAGGCATAAGGCACACGTCCTCGGCAGCCAGATCTGTGTTTTAATGTAGTCACTAGAAAATTCAAGCACCACTGGACAGCACTGCTCTGGGCCAAGCACCTGGCCATTTATCACAAGGCGCTGCCACCTAAGTAAGGCCGGGGCGTGGCCTGCCTGGGCCTCCTTGGCTGAGTAGCTGCAGATGAGGCTGCCTCTTCTCTGGGTCTCTTTCCGCAACTGGAGACAGCGATTTGAGCCCATCTGCGGGTGACTTCACTTGGTCTGTTCTGTTTGTAGAGCGAGGTGGTCAGCATTGTTGAGGTCCACTTTTAGAGGGCAGCGTGGGGTCTCGAGTGGGTCTCAGGGTGGTTCTCTAGAGGCAGGCTGGCCTCTTGGCCTGCCACAGTCCCCCACCTCTCCCCAAGAAAACCCTGGACCACTTGATTCCTCGATGTTTCCTGCCGGCCGCTTGCACTGGCTGCTTCCTTCAGGTCTTCTGGGCTGGTGTCCACCACCTGTGCTTCTCCTGAGCCGAGAATCGGCCTTCCATTTCCCCAAACGTGTGGCGGAAAGGACAGTAGTTCTCTAGGAAGAGCCAGAGAGACATGGCGACCAGCGTGCTGCTGTTGTAGCAAGGCTTCTGGGCTCCAGTATGGGAAAGGTGCCCAGGCGCAGGCTGACACCAGCTCCCGCTCAGGTCCAGGGGACTGTCCACAGAGGGGGCAGTCGATGGCCGCCCAGGCACGGCCGCTGTGGCCAATGCCATGTCACCAGGGATTGCAGAGTCGAACGGGGAGCTGTGTCCATTATGAGCAGAAGAAAAGCCACCAGACAGCGGCAAACAGGACTGTCTGCATTTGTCAAGGGCTCTCTATAGAAGCTCCCAGTTGCCTAGCAATGGGGCAAGCCAGGCCGGCAGATGGGCAAGCACCTGACTGGGACACCGGCCTCAGGGCCCTGTTTGCTTCTGCACAGGTGCCCGGATGTAGGTCAGGCAGCTGCTAAAGGCAGCTAGCGCTGGGGAGGGAGGCTCTGTCCGTCTGTCCTGGAGGCCCAGGGGAACCCCTGCAGGTCAGCTGGACCATGCTCAGGAGGCCCAGCGGGGACCCCGGGAGCTCAACGGGGTCATCTGAGAAGACTGCCCCTAGATTTCCACTCTGCCACCCTCAGCAAGATGGGCTTTCACCCCAATGCTGCTTGCTTCATGGCCCTAGCATGGCTGCCACAACTCCAGCCTTTATGTTTATGCTCAAGGCTGTGACAGAGGGGAAGGAGACCATGGAGGGGTGAGTCTCATTTTCTCTCTCATTCGAAAACACACTTTTCTGCAGTGTCTCACCTCACAGCCCGGTGGCCAGAATGACTAAGCAAGGGAAGCCAGACAGCTGCATGACTGGCTTGTTTCAGTGTCTTCTAAGACAGGGGGGCTCCCAGGTGGAGGCAGTCATGGCTGAGGGTGTGTGTGTGTGTGTGTGAGTGCACGTATGCACCTGTGTATGGTGTGAGTACATGTCTCTGTGTGTGTGGCATTTCTCCCTGCCCCCCACCCGCCGGGGCTGGGCACCCCCTCAGGCGCTGGCGCTGTGTCTCAGGTTTGGGGTGATCCACTCCGTGTTCACCAACCTGCTGCTGTGGGCCAACAGCGTGCTGAACGAGTCCAAGCACCAGCTGAACGAGCACAAGGCGCGTCTGATCACGCTGGGCTTCGGTAACATCACCATAGGTGAGCGCAGGA